GGTGGTTTGTGGGGGGGGGGGGGGTTGCTGTCAGCAGCCCAGAGGCTCAAAGGCTGGGACCTGCCCCCCGCCCCACGACGGGAGGGGGACCCAGCTCAGCATTTCCCATATGGGGTGCAAGGCTACCTGGCGCCTACAGGGAAAGGCAGAGGAAGCTCCATCCGGAGACTCCAGGGCTGAGATGGGCTCAGGAGCAGCAGGTGGGGGCTGCAGGCGGAAGGCAGGGGCTCCCGTTCGGGGAGCTGGGGAGGGGGGCGGTTGGTGAGTGAGGCAGGCAGTGATGGAAGGGCAGCCAGGGCTGCTGCGGGGCGAGGTGGGGGAGACAAGGGGCTCAAATTCTGGGGTGCCGGGGTGCAGCGGAGGGTGCTGGGGGCTGGCTGGCGGCTTGTTGCAGTGGAGTGGGTGAGCTCCCTAGGGCCACCTAATGGGGCCTTCAGCCACCTGTGACCAGCCAGCTACAGCCCTGGCCCAGGCCAGAGGCTCTGCCGAGGCGCCCAGGGTGCCCCCACCCCAGGCTGTGCAAGAGGCCACCCTGCCATGGCCAGAGCCTGGCAGGAGGGGTGTTCTTGGCTGCGGTGCCGTGGTTCAGCTCCTAGGCTAGAGACCTTCACTACAGCAGCGCCCCATGGCCGTGGGAGATCGGGCACCATGGTCAGGCATGGAACAAGCAGTTGAGGACTCATGTAAATTAGGTTTTGCATACTAATTGGTATGCAGATCCCAGGGTTGCACAGTTAGCAGGGTGTGAACCGTGCTCACCTTCGTGCCACCCCCCACCGTGCACTCCACTTACTCTCAGGCACCCGCACCTCCCAGGGCAGGGGGATGGTGGGGCTGTTATCGTTAATGTCCATCACCACTACAGTCAGAGTGGCCGGGTTCCCTCTGTCCATCGCTGTCACCACCAGGCTACAGGGCAGAGACAAAGCCACAGGATCAGTGTCACTTGGGATCCTGTGCCCTCGCATGCAGCGCGGAAGAACTGGAAGTGCTAATAAACAAACACAGCTATGCCATCGCTGGTATCAGAGACCTGGTGGGATAATACACACGACTGGAATGTTGCTATAGAAGGGTGCAGCTTGCTCAGGAAGGACAGGCAGGGAAAATGGGGAGGAGGTGTTGCCTGATATATTAACAATGGACACACTTGGCCGTTACCAAACTACAGTGAGCCAGCTCCTCCTAAATGCAGAAGATTCTTGGCAGCGCTTGACTGCTGCAATGCTCTCGCTCTTTCTCCCGCGCTCCTTTCGCCAGTCAGTGCCTGAGACTTAGGGGAAATCAATGCAATTATAGTTATGAAGGTCCATGGTGACGGGGGACTTCAACTATCCAGGCATATCATAGAATCCTAGAACACTAGGACTGGAAGGGACCTCGAGAGTCATCGAGTCCAGACCCCTGCCCTCATGGCAGGACCCAACACTGTCTAGACCATCCCTGATAGACATTTATCTAACCTGCTCTTAAATATCCCCAGAGACGGAGATTCCACAACCTCCCTGGGCAATTTATTCCAGTGTTTCACCACCTGGACAGGCAGGAAGTTTTTCCTAATGTCCAACCTAAACCTCCCGTGCTGCAGTTTAAGCCCATTGCTTCTTGTCCTGTCCTCTGAGGCCAAGGAGAGGTGTTGCAAAGCTGCTCTCAGCATTCCCGCAGGCCCTTTGTGTTAGCTTGACTGATGTCTGGGTTCAGGTGTAATACACTAGGCCTTGTGTCTGCCCATTGCAGTTTGTGAAGGCCCACTGAATACTAGCACAGCAGCACTCAACTCCTTGGGCGGGCTTTGCCATTGACCAACCTGGGTACAGGTCCGTGCCCCTTCTTAGCTGGGGCCAGGACATGTTGGTATATAAGGATATGTTGTGAACAGGTGAGTGCTAACAGGGAATTTAGGGTACATCTACACTGCATCCCTAGTTCGGACTAGGGATGCAAATGGAGACGACCAAAGTAGTTAATGAAGCAGGGATTTAAATATCCCGCACTTCATTAACATGATCTCGCTGGCGTGCTAGTTCGAATCACAGCTGATTCGAACCAGGAGGTGCGTGCCGGGATGCGTTAGTTCGGACTAAAGCCCTTAGTTCGAACTAATGTTACTCCTTAAAAAGGGCTTTAGTCCGAACTAACGCGTCCCGGCGCGCACTTCCTGGTTCGAATCAGCTGTGATTCGAACTAGCGCGTCTGCGAGATCATGTTAATGATCCTTTGAGAGGGAATTCTCCAGGTAAAGAAGAAGCAGATAAAGGACTCTTGAGGAAAGTGGCTGTCTGCAGTGTGTGTTGTGTTTGGGGCTTTCTTGCTGTGTGCTGAGCTTGTGTTTGTGAGTGAGGTTTTTTTTTTTTCTCCCTTCTCCTTGCCCCTCCCCTTCACGGAGTGTGTGCTGTCACTGGCAGGTGAAAACTGTTGGCTTCTAATTAAAGTTTGAATTCTAGAAGCCTCTGCTGATTGGCCGAGCCTTGGTAGGGGGAGGGACTTTCAGGCAGTCCAGGGCTTTATAAAGCAGTGAGCAAGAGACCAAGGAGCTTGACAACAGGTGAGTGCTAACAGGGAGTTTAGAGAGGGAGTTTGGAAGGGGAGAGGGAAGGGCGCGAGGTTCTCTTGCCTTTCTTTTAAATCCTTTTTCCAGGACAGCAGGTATGGATGGTGATAGGTCTGCTGTTGTTACCTGCACAGTGTGTGCCATGTTTGTCATCCTCCCGGAACAAAGAATGGATTTCATCTGCACCAAGTGCAAGCTGGTTGCCATTTTGGAAGAAAAAATTAGAGGACTGGAAGCCCAAGTGTCGACCCTACGCTCAATCAGAGAGGATGAAGACTTCCTCGATAGAAGGCAGCGTTTAATCCTGCAAGCACGGCAGGAGGAAGTGCCAGAGAGGGCAGTACAGGACCAGGAAGAGAAGTGGCAGCATGTAACTTCTAGAAGGGGAAAAAGGCCAGCATGGGAATTCCACAATGCTATAGAGGTAAGTAATCACTTTCAGGCTCTCTCCACAGGCTCTGCAGTGGTGAATGTTTTGGAAGGGACCTCACAAGGAAGAAACCGGAAGGAAACACTACCGGAGGGAACGCATTGGATGCGTAGTCCTAGAGATGGGGGTTCCGTGACCACCACCCCCCAAAAGAAGACGACAGGTGGTGGTGGTCGGGGACTCCCCCCTAAGAGGGACTGAGCCATCCATCTGCTGTCTGGACCTGGAATCTCGAGAGGTATGCTGCTTACTGGGAGCTTGAATTCAGGATGTGACTGAGAGGCTTACCAAGCTGATCAAACCTTCGGATCGCTACCCCTTCCTGCTTCTCCACGTAGGAACTAATGATACGGCCAAGAATGCCCTTGAGCAGGTTACTGCGGATTATGTAGCCCTGGGAAGAAGGATCCAAGAATTCGGAGTGCAAGTGGTGTTCTCGTCCATCCTCCCTGTTGAAGGGAAAAGACTGGACAGGAATCATTGAATTGAGGACGTAAATGCGTGGTTGCGCAGATGGTGTCGCAGAGAGGGCTCTGGTTTCTTCGACCATGGGACTCTGTTCCAGGCACAAGGATTGTTAGGAAGAGATGGGATCCACCTAACGAAGAGAGGAAGGAGCATCTTCGCGGGCAGGCTTGCAAACCTA